TAACTCCTTTCCCTTTCCTAGTAATGTTTTTAGATTGACGTTTTATGTATTTATATATATTTATGGTTTTAATGTTCTGGATGAGTCGCCCAGAGTTCCCCCGTTGGGGGGAGATGGGCGGGGGAGAAATTTAATAAATAAATAAATGACCTCATGCACCACTTGGAACAAGGCATCCATTCTGCCCAGTCTCCTGTTTCCAGCAGCAGACAGCCTTCTTTCCCTACATTGACTATTATTACTATTATTATTATTGGGTCTGTGTCACTTTCTGTCACATATCCCTCCCTTTTTCCTCTTAAGGCGATTCCAAGGGTCTCCCCACTTTTTTAAACTCCATCACAACAACCCTGTGAGGTAGGCCAGTCGGAGGAGAACACATGCCTGGCCCAAGGTAGTCCAGTCCGAGCAGCTTTCCTAAGCGCGGAGGGACTTGAACCTGGGCTTCTCTGGATCCCCGGTAGCTGTGAGGCTATCCTTTGGAGAAGCCTGTCTCTGGAGACTCCACGGGTTCGTTTTAGCAATGTAGAAGCTGCTTTAGGCCGAGAGCCTGGACCTGTCCTCTGGGAAATTGAGGGGTTTTGGATAGAAATGTTTTGAGCTCTTGGAAATCAGGAATGAAAGGGTTTTCGGAGATGCCGTAATGTTGAGGTCCAGGCTTTCTCTGCAAAGGGACCTCTGTTACTGTTTGTAGTCACCTTTTGGTATGTGGAAGTAGACGATGTCTGTACATGGAGGTTTGACTAGTTTCGCTCTGGTTAGGTAGCTGCTGGCAACGGTAACGGTCTGTGGGAGTGACCTCGGGAGACAGGAGGAAGAGCCGCAGCCAGGGCGACCGTCAGATAAGAGGCAGCTGAGCCCTCAGAAGGAATGGGGCGGTGGAAAGCATCTCGGAAGGGACCCTCCCTAGTTCTCTGGAGAGTAAAAGGAAAGGAGGGGAGAAATACTTTCAGTCTTGCAAGAATCTATTAATGTAACCTTACCATAAAGATAGAGTTAGTACTCCCGGTTACACCTCTTGTCTAGCCACAGGGCTAAGAGGGAGTCCTCTGTGTGGCTTTCACGCAAGAGGGAAGAGAGAAGGTCTGCTCGCTTCAGAGCCGCCCGCTTTCTTCCGACAATTGATGTTTCAAGGTGGGTTGCCTGGGTGGCTTGTTCAACAAACTGAACACAACAGTCCTAGTTGTTGCCGATCGGTCTGAAGTCCGTGGACTAAGAGAGCCCTTGGCACTTATTTCAGAGGGAACGTGCGTGGAGCTGGGCCAGCAAAGTAGAGTTGCGAGGTGAGGTCCTCTTTCTCTTTCTCCCCCACCCCCTTCCAGATGACACCATCTTGAAAGGAGTGGATGACAGCAATGCCCTCGTCCTTCCATCACGAAAAGCCCGGCAGGAGAAGCCTGCCCCTTGTGATCAAGCTCCAGGGAGGAGGCCCCTGAGCAAGAAGCAGAAGAAAATTTTGCAGAAGGTTTTGGAACAGAAAGCCAAGAAAGAAAAGGTGGGTGATCGATTCAGGAAATCCACGCTTCCCAACCGCGGTCCAGGGAGGCGAGGGATGTCGGCCGCATCCTCGGCTCACGTGGCTTGTCCCATTTTGTTTGGTGTGAAATCCTAGCGAGCGGAATTGCTGAAAAGGCTGAGCGAAGTCCAGGTGTCTGAGGCTGAAATGAAACTCCTGTATACCACTTCCAAGCTAGGAACAGGAAAGCGGATGTTCCAGGCCAAAAGGTGAGATAAGGAAGGGTCAAGCCTGCTTATTCCGTTTTATTTATGCAATGTGGACATAGGTTTGGTTGGGCTGCACCTTTTGGCACATGTTTGAGCTCATCTATGTGCCCTTTGGGACAGGCAGATAATGTTTAAGAGAGGGCAAATCAGACTTTCGGGGCAGCTCCACATCTGAGAGCCTCCAGAATTCTTAGAAGAATGTGCATCGGACTGGGGCATTCTGGGAGTTGACATCCCCTCATCTGGAGTGGGAAAACTGGCATAAATCATTTTCCCTGGTGCCTCTTCAGTGCTTGGGGATTAAGGTGGAACGGGGTTTAAACACAGTCTTGGTGTTTCAGGTCAGCCCAAGAACCGAGTGCCGGCTGGTCGAAGAAAATCAAAAGCGTTGGGGGGGCAAATAGGAAAAGATGCAGGCTTGAATTGGAGGAGGAGGTGGAAGAAGAGGGAAAGGAGGAGGAAGAGGAGAGTGGGGAATCTGAGATGGAAGAACAGGTTGAAGAGGGACTTCCAGAAGCCTCTGCTGCCTCTGAGACAGAATCCGGAAAGGTCTCCCACTCTCCGCTCTGTTTGCCCAAAGAACCTGATAGATCTTCTGTGCAAAAGGACACAACCTCTAAGCCCACGTCAGAACCCGTGGTTTTCATTCCAGTGGATCGATCCTCTGAGATTCAGGTCAGTTTCGAATCCAAAACCTAGAGAAGGTTCTCATCCACCATTCTGCCACCCCGGTTTGCTAATGAAGCCACGGTTAGCCGGGCACTCGTATCGCACTCAGGTATAAATCATAGCTTATGTGCTAAACCAAAAATGAAACCATCTGGCATGGGAAGCGAGAAGCTACCCGTAGTTTGCGATGAAAGGGGCTCCTCGAGTGGGAATTTTAACCACAGGGCTCTTAAAACTCCACAGCGATGGGTATTAAAACCCAATTTGCCGTTGGAGCTGCAACAGCCAACGGCTAGCCTCTGTTCTTTGTAAAGGCGTTTCTCTTGTTTGTCTAAGGAAGCCAGGTTGAAGCTCCCAATCCTTGCCGAAGAGCAAGTCGTAATGGAAGCCGTGCGGGAGAATCCCATAATTATCGTATGCGGGGAAACGGGTTGTGGCAAAACCACGCAAGTGCCTCAGTTCCTCTATGAAGCAGGCTACGCAAGGTATTAGCTTTTGGATTTCTAATGCAGCGTTCATATTTATTCTCCATTCCTTGGTCGGTTGGATCTGTCAGTGCTCACTAGAATCAAATCGGATCAATGAACAGTAACCCTCTTTTTGACTTCCGCAAAACTCTGGCACAAATAACGATTTAAGCCAAGGTTTTTCAAACTTGGCGACTTTACAACACATGGACTTCAACTCCCAGAACTCCCCAGCCAGCCAGCATGCCAGTCCACGAATGCTGGCTGGGGAATTCTGGGAGTTGAAGTCCACCCATCTTAAAGTTGCCACGGTTGAGAAACACTGATTTAAACCCTGTATTGCCCTGTGGCGGGAGGTCAAGCCTGCAACCTGGGAAGCTCCCTTCTGGGAGGAAAAGCAGAATTGTTGGTTTGGCTGAGTTTGTCACAACTCATCGGGGAAGGCTGATCCGAGAAGGAGCTCTGAAGTTCCACGCTTCTGTTCTGTGACACTTTTGTGAGAGGGAAGGTACGGAGCTAGGAAATTGCAAAATGGCTTGGTCAAAAGAGGGGCCCCACAGCTGGCAGCGAAAGCTTGGATGCAACTGTGAACAGCCATAGCCTCGGTTCCCGTTCGTTACCTGCAAAACCCAAAGAAACTGGATTGCATCAAAGGTGTTAATCCCCTCCCTCCGGCTGGTGCGCTAAATCTCATCTCCCTTCGGTCTGTAGCTCCAGCGGCATCGTTGGGATTACAGAACCTCGGCGCGTAGCAGCGATATCTATGTCTCAGCGCGTTGGAGCGGAAATGAACTTGTCATCACGGTAAGGGTGCTCTGGGCGGCCTCTTTCCCAAACCGGTTTTAGATATCGTCGTCAAAAAACATTCTGCCAAAATAGACATCTGCCAACCTCTGGCACCTTTTCCAGGTTCAAGAAACAGAACAATTTGAGGACCCAACTATCCATGGCGATGTTAATAGATGGGATAGATTTTATAAGGAATTCAAGTAGCTGGAAAGTGATATGATGATGATCCTGTCCTTTGGACGTTTCATGCCTCAATCAGTGTTGGGTTTTTAAAGGACACTTTCCATACCACGATGAGCCAGTGTTTCAACTCGCTCCCTGATATGGTTCATGTTTTTTTCAGCCTGACCCAACCGAGTCAAATGCATTATCTGAGTTTTTGAAACGACAGCTAGAAAAATTAAAGTGGACAGTGGTTGGAGGCGAGGAGGCTAACGTTATTGAAGCAAGCATTTATTTGCTCTTCACGTTTGCCCTAAATGCATCCAGTGAGATAGATGCCCGACCTGATGGCATTGTGTCAGTGTTATGCGTTGTGGGGGAATCTGGCAGCCTCAACATTGTTTCTGTGTCCTCCACACCAGTGTGGTTTCCTACCAAATCCGGTACGAAGGGAACGTGACAAACGATACGAAAATCAAGTTCATGACGGACGGTGTGCTGTTGAAAGAAATCCAGAAGGTGACGACTTTTTTTCCTTACGCTTTTGAAATGTGGGGTGCAGGCTGCTTTCAGGAGAATGTTTTGGGCTTAACGTGCTGCCTCGCCTTAGCGGGTCCAAGAGGAGATCCGGGGAGTCAGAAAATCTCTTCTTCCTGCTTCCTCTCCCCCCGAAAAAAAACAAGAGTTGCATTCTGAAATGAAAGAAGAGGAAGATTTTTTCACCCCCTCTTCGAGGGCCTTGAAATTTCCAACACTATCTTGTTCCATTGCTGAATCAAATGCCCGAAACATTTCTGCAAACAGCTTTTCCATCTCAGGTCTCCTCCGATGTATAGCTCCTACTTATAAATTTGCAGCTGAATCCCCCACCCA